TCGAAAAATTGAAACAAGAAGATTTTACGGAACAAACAACCATCATAAATAAATAAACGAAGCAAGCGCTCATTGAGAAATGAAAACTTGTCGATTATATAAAATTATTATGTGGAAATTTGTTCGATAAAGAAAATGAAAAGTGCAGAAAGGTTATTGATAGAAGGAAAGAGATCATCATCACATCATCAAATTCAAATCAGAATTATTGGAGGTGAAATGAAATTTTAGAAATCGCATTTTCGATACCTACAAGATGAGTGTTGCAGTAGCACACAATGAGCTTACGATCTCTTAACGGAATTCTTCAGCCAACATAAAGGCAATCGAAAAACTAACGCACAACACCATCAAAATGTCCCACAAATCAAAAATGAAATCGATTTCCAGCCTCTTTGCTACGAATCTGAACGTTAAACCTCGATAATATCCATTCCAATTCTTAAACTTAAACTTAAAGCTAAAATTAAACTACTCATGGTGGATAGCATGGAAACAGGACATTTCAATGGAATTACTAATGAATAAATGATTGGTGACAAACAATTACAATCGTAACAAAGAACACGGATCATTATTAGTCACTCATTGATTTCGAAACATTCTCCCGAATCATCCATCTTTCTCACAATCAGCAATCAAACTTCACACCGAACCATTTGCAAAACCTAGCACATTCAACAAAATTCATCCTCAACTTCTCAATACCAAGAACACACCAAAACCCCCTCATTCCCCAGATAACTCATATTTTTTCCAAACAAAAAATCCTTCCCAATATTCATTCTCATCGCTGACTTCACAACGAAGAACACTCAATAACAACAACAATAACAAATTTCGAATAACATAACAAACGATTATCATTATCATTGAAATTATTCACCTTCCAATCAATGAAAACTGCATAAACATAACGATGGAACATATAAAATGAAAAACATATCAATCGAAACATTCAAATTCAATATTCAACACAAATAACAACAACAACAACTCATTCATTCAGTCACAAAACAAATTCGTTCACTTCATTCATTTATTTTCATCATTCTTCCACTCTTTTCTCCTCTTCTTCCGCTTTATTTCTTTATGGGGTATACAAGAAATTGAATCTGAAATAAAAACTGATGAAATTTGTAACATTCAAAAAATCTTATTGAATACTAAACATTTAAACAAGTCTAACACAAACTGACTCAATGCCTTTGTTAATATGATATTCTGCATCTGTATAATACAACTTTAAAATAACTACAATAAAGTAATAATAACAAAAATAATAAAAAAGTAAACACAACCACAATAATAAACAATAACTAAAACAACGCACAAAAATAACAAAATAACCGAAACACTAATAAACGACTGTATATAACCTGCTCAGAGTCTGAGGTAGACTCGCGATCAGTGGCCCATAACCAGCCGCATTATCGTACAATTCAAATAAAGGCGCCGCAACCAGTTTGTAATTTTTCGGTACTGCGAATAACGCTCTCTCGGGCAGTTGCACCAGGAAGAGTTTGGTTTGTTCTTTCGGCTTAGTGACGTGCGCTGGGATGTACGGATACTAAAATCGAATCGTCACATTCCCATTTGCAAATAACAAAACGCCCTCTATTGAAAATTTCTAACATTTCAAAATAATTCACTATAAGAGCTCAAACATTCTCCATACTCCATTCATTCACAATACGAACATCTTGCAAAATAATTCACTCATGACAACAATAATAACTAAACACTTACTCTCGGTGGGTCAAAATTCGGTCTCCACCAATTTCCAATCGCATCCTCAATTGTCCACAAATCTTTCGCACCGTCTTGTCGACCCAAAGTCTTGATGAAAGAAAAAAACACAGTTATACTTCAATAATAAAAATAAGAAAGTCAAACCGACTAAAAAACTCAAAAGATAAAATTCTCACCTCCGTCAACAATCTTTTCAATCCATCGATTTCGTCCTCTCCTGGATTCAGTTCACCACCAGGTCTGAAATTTCATTCACTATCAAATTTGCCATTCAAAAATCAAAGCACACCATTTGACTACGTAAACATTAAGTGAAGTTGACTAAAATGAAATGAAAACTAGTAAAAACAAATGAAAAGTGCTCATCATGAATAATAAATACTACAACCATCAGCCTAAAATGATCAATAATACCAATAAATTATAACAACAACAAAAAAAAGACGAACAGCTTAAAGAAAGTGGTTCCAATCTGCAGCAAAAGAACGTGAGGTAACGAATGTTCATGAACCAGCAACACACCCTCCACAGAGCGCCTCATACCAATCTTATCGTACTCCTCACGCATCCTCTGGAATCGTGCTTGTACGGAATGATCTCGTTCTGCTTGTGGCTCTTTTGTTCCGAACGTGTAGTTCGTTAGTGGATATCTTTAATGCAACTTTATTAGTATCATTGTTATCAATAATAATCGCTTGTCTCATTTAATATCACTCATCATCACTGTCATTTTATTGCTTATTTTCAATCCTCTTCATAACAAACCCATAAAACTAACAGATTAATCGCTCGGTCCGTACTTCCATTAGCTTCACTTTCTTTCTTAATCGTCGTATTTACTGAACTGACTGTTTGCGGTTTTCCAGCTGTAGGCCATCCGGTGCGTGACATTCCGGTCATCTGAAAGTTCGGTTTCCATACTCTGCTGGACTTCTTCGCTGCACAAAAATCTCCAACAATCTCGAAATCGCGAACTCAATCTGTCTTATAGTTAGTCTTGGCCCCTCACTTATGTTTACAGACGATGATCTCAACCTGTGGAAACTTATTAATCCAAATAATCCTCAATAGGGTTCCGTTCAAATCGAACTGGTCTTACTTTCCATTCCGTCTTGAGCGAGATTGTATCTCCACAAAAAAAAAACCGTCATATTATTTGCAAATCTTTCACCTCACGAGTTTCTAAATAACTCTTTGATTGCTTCATTCACAAAAAAAGAAACAAATCAAATTCAAAATGTTTGCTCAAAAACATTTTGAGACAATTCAAATTGAGAATGCTCAAAATTCAAACGTCAGATAGTTCACAAACATTGCTGAGAACAGCGCATTCAAAAGCTTTCACCAGAAGGAGTTTCAAAATCGGATCAAACAGCGAAAACATCATGAAATCGTTTATTGCGAATATTCATCTAACCGTAAAATCACGCACTCTTCATCACAATCAACGTTCATCAAACAACGATTCAAAATCTTAAATAAAATCTCAAAATGAATCAAAATCAAAAAACAACGAATAAATTATGCACCAAAATATCGAACTGAACAACAAAACAATAGAAATGTTCAAGAAATCAAATTTATAAGATTATCAGATTAATAATTCCAACGATACAATGCAAATTTATGGCAATGATCTTTCACTAAATTGTTAATTATTTACTCAAAAAATAGTCAAATTCATTACGAAAAAATACGAACATTTTTGAGTGTCTCAATATCGTTATACCGCGAACATACAATATAACAATACTAAAACCCTAAAATGCCTCACATTCAGTTCCAAGTGAAATATATCCACCATAAAGATTTATAACAAATAAGTTACAACTATTTTATAACAAATAGTTTATAACAAACAAATAAGTTTACAAGGAATAAATATTGCGTTAGCAATAACAACGATAATGATTAAATGAGATTACAAGTTACAAGACGCATTAAGACGACACTAAACTTCACAGTGAAGACACAATTCTTTCAATTACACTTGTGAACGTATCGCTAATCAACAGAAATGCAGTTCGGTTCGACTGCATCACAAAAATGCCAACATATTGCACAGTAAGCTATCATACAGCTTGATCGAACACCGCAAAGCTTTCGGAGAAATCTATTACTCATTGACGGAATGTTTTAAAATAACCCGGATGAAAAAGTCGAGGCTTAGAAATTTAGAACAAATCAAATTCAAGCGAATTCCTGGAGCGAAGAAAACTGACTACCGCATCAGTTATTCTTTTCCGTCAGCATCGATGATTTCTGTTGAATGTTCTTCATTTCCTAGATCTACTAAAATACTCCGATTCGATGCGAACTTTCGGCACCTCACCTGAAATTGGTTGTGTGGTCACCGATTCCAATATTTGCACTTCACACTAAATTAAATGAACAAATGCGAATAAGAAGCATAATCATCCTTATTACTTGCTAATGTAATTGCTTTTATGATTCAATGTGATTTCTAGTAGCTTGTAAGCACTGAAATAAGATTTTATATTCAAATCATGCTCCGTTCACACCATTCAATTAGAAACAAAAGCAAAATAAAATGCAAATGAAACTTAAACATAATGGATGTACCGCAATCATCTAAATTCCATGCAATAACAAATTCAAAAACGCACCTTCGCAAATTTGAACATAACTTCCGTCGCTTTATCAGTTTCTTTGTTTGGTTTCTTCCTCAGATAAACCACCTCAACGATACCAGCCTTAAATCACGCCTCGTAATTATTAATTACCAGCTTTGTCCTCGAAAATTTCACTATATTCCTTAACAACCTAACAAATTTGAGAGTTTTCTAGCCAACTAAAAATTTTCTCACACATAACCGAAAATATTAAGGAGAAAAAGCTATTCCCGCTGATCGAACAGAAGAATTTGCTTAAGGACAAATAAGGAGAGAGGGGAGGGAAGCTTCAAAATTTTCTAATCACTTCGGATGATTGAAACGAGACCGCTTAAGCCATCACAAGGAAAGTGACCCCTTTTTTTGTGCACAAATCAACGNCACGAAACATTATCACAACGACAAATCGTCATTGCTCCACATAATAATGTAAAACAGTTTCGTTACATTTCGTTACAAAATTCAAATGATAAACAAATGAATTACAAAATTTATAAAAAGCAAATGAATAAAACAAATAAATGATCAAGCGTGGTATATACTTATAAATATTTATGATTCAACGTTTCTGACAAGTATTTCTGATGGAACCAAATGTGGTTCGAAGTAATTGTGCACATTTAACGATTGGACATGACCGAAATGCAGTCGAACGTACCTGCGTGACGGGGTCTTTACTTCGCTGAGATATCAGACAGGCTATGGCCATGAACGACTCATCCCACGTCAAATATGTTTGCCTTTTTCCACTATTCCGTGTCATTTCATTTATCGGATTGAGCCTGAATAACGATTTCGACTAGAATTTACGAATTCACTGCGATCAACAAGCAATTCACCGACTAATGTGCCATTTTGTTTGAGATTCAGCAGGTTCAACTCGTGGTCACTGAGTGGAATCTTTGTTGAAAAGCAAACAACTTAAGAAAAAATCTGTTTCTCAGAAATCAAACCATTATCGTGAATGGAACCTTCAGAAAAAAAAATTTTCAAGATTTTAAGACTCAAATATGCAAAAGGAAGCAACTTCTGATTGTGAGATAATTTCCAAAACTTACGTTCCATTGCCGTTTTCTTTTTGTTCTCCTCCGTCTTCTACAGATAAATCCGCCAGTCCTTCCAACACCATTACAGCCCTGAAAATTGTTCAACGATACAATCGAATGGAATTTATTTGCCAAAAATGATTTAACTATGGAAACCGACAAAAAATTCCAGAAAATCAACGAGAATCAAGAAAATTTTCAAAAAATTTTCCTTCGATGATCGCTCGGACATGCTAACTGATCTACAATTCATGCGTAGTTCGCATGAAACGAATCGGGACGCGATTGGTTCTTCTTTGCGATTATCTTTTTTTGCTTTAAGAGAAGACAAGAGCGTTATAATTGATGATATCATGGATAAGTATTATGCACATGGATAAGTTCAGGCTTAAAGGTCTCAGCAAAAAGATGTTGTTGCAGAATCTTATTTGATTTTTCGAATGGTTTTACTGACAATCAACAACAGCTCCTCTGATCACAAGTGCTCTGTCTGAATTGTCGAATGCTGCATGACTAGTTATCTCAAACAAGCTGGACCATACTTCTTCCCTTTTAACCGAATGAATTTAACAAGTGAATAAATTTCATTTGATAAAATTCTCCAGTCTCTCGAAGACATCTATCAATTCAACTAAATTCATGCAAAGGAAGATGAACAAATAGTTTTCAAGAGAGTGCAACTTGAGGATTTCAGTCATTTTTCAGCGTATAAATCCACTGTTTTTGTTTATTATTTCAAATTTGTTGAATTCAACATGTTTGTATCTGATTTTCACTTTGAAGAATTCGTTATTTAAAACTCTTCAATTCAGCAATTTTTCTGCAACATAATCACTGCGTCGCTCATAAAC